ATTTAAAATAAAAATGGTCAAAAGTTTTTATATATATATATATATATATATATATATATATATATAGATACACACACACACACACACACACACACACACACACTGTATATAATATTAACCAATTACATATCATTAAAAAAATTATATAAATGATTGTTATATAAATTTGATATTAAAAATGAAATTATTAAAATATAAATTATATAAAATATTATATAAATATATTCCTTATAAAAAAAAAGAGACTTCAAATAAAGTGAAAAAATGACTGGTCAATATTTAGGTTAAATATGTGTTTCCTCATTTGTGTCCAGAAGAGATCTGTGATTACGCAGATTACAATAGGTTTTTGTAGTTGAACTAAATATTACACACACCTAAAAGAAGAGTCATGTCGGTCAAGTCAGAACAAGACAGGAACTATTTTAAGTACTGGGCAAGATGAGACTAGTGTCCTCAAAAAACATCTCAAATCTGTTCTGTTTCTGTGATATTACGACTAGTAGTAACTAGTAATTGTGACTGACTAATTTTTACTAGTTATTTTGTGTAGATAGACATATAACGACACATAGTCCAAAATGTATTGGAAATTTTGTATAGATTAGATGTGTATTATTCCTTCTATGTTGTAAGTTTTAATGTTGCCATTGTATATGCATAATATTGGATACAACATTTAAAATTGCAAATATGGAAATTATATTAGTTTGTTTTCTTTTATCACAATATTTACATTTTAAATCAATTCCACTACATTTGTTTTAAAACGCAGATGTTTCTTAATTATTTTTCTTAATTAAATGTTTCAAACAAAACATGTTTTATTGGAAATATCTTTTCAATTAGTCAGAATTGTATAGGTTTTTCCATATTTCTCAATATTTGTTTCCGTCCTGTTAGTCTTTTGTAAAATCCCTAACGTCATCACCCAACAGCAAGTGACATCGATTTTTTTGGAGGGAAAACAACAGCACAAATAGGCTCTCGGTGAGTATTTGCAATGACTTTGAGCTCTGTGATGTTTTATGGTTAGTTGGTTTCTGTTACTTTAAAACATCCATCCCTTTTGATAAAATTACAGATAAGTTATAATATCAATATATAATACGAACATTTCCCGAAAGATACAAAAAACTCAGACACAAAACTCGGTTCTCGTGCGTTTGTTTGTTTTGAATCCAACAGATGGCAGTGTTGTAATGAAGTGAAATTGATTTTGTAATGTGAGGCCCGTTTTAATTTTGAATTATAGATTTAATATAATAGCATGAGCTACTGGAGTAGTAATTATTATATAGTGACAGAGTATTAATATAGTTGTTGTCTGTCTCACTCTTTAAAGAGACACAACCTGTTAAAAGAATAGCTGTCAATAGCTTCTGTCAGTGTTTTTCACCTTCTTGTCTTGTTAAAATGAATTATTTATAACAGATGTGACACAAAATCAACTTGAGACTTGTTCTTGATAGCTAAACTTTAGTTTGTTTGTTCATTTACGACCACTTTTATGTTACCAATTCACCTTCTTAAAAGATTAAATGATGATGTAAATGTCTTTTAGTTTGTTTTATCTGGAAATGAATGGCAGAAGAACATAATATTTTCTTGCCATTACTATGCTTATTTCAGCCTCAAACACGTTTCAGTTTAGAAATATGCCATGTTTTCCCATGGCATTGACCAAAGCATAACAGAAAATGGGATTGAATTATGGTCCTTCTACTCTGATCTCCAAAATAACCCTTTAATTGATCAGATTGCTCTGTGGTTTGATGGTGATGAGGGACTCTGAGCTGGCAGGCTTGTAAAGCGGTGGCCGCTGTGGGTCAGATTGTTGGAGGCGGATGCGCAGTGAGCCCCAGCGTCCCTGTGTTGGTGGTCCAGTTGACTGACTGCATGTTCTCTACACTGTAAAAACAAATTCCGTAAAATTTACGGTAAAAAAACGGCAGCTGTGGTTGCCGGAATATTACCGTAAAAAATACAGTAGCAACGTTTTAGGTTTTAACGTAAATTTACAGTTAAATACTGTATTTTCATTAACTGATATAATGTTAATATACCAACCTATTGAAGTACTGAAATCTGTTTTGGACCTTTGTAATAGACTGATAACCACCAAATGCAGGTGGTGATGAGAAAGTCACATGATGAACCAAAGCCCATCACAAGCAGCTTTTAAATAATAACATATATAGAAGGTGCACAGTGTCATTCACACAAACACCAAACACCATCATGGTAACACACATGAAACTGAAATAATGCAATAAACATTCATTTACCAACATTAGGTGTAACACACAACCCTAATATACAAAACTGATAAGAAAAAACTAAGAAGAAACATAGTTATTTCAACAAAAAAAACATCAAATTTGAAATGTAACGCAGGGAATTCTGGGAATGTCAATTTACGGTTATTCACTGTAAATTATACGGTCTTTTTCACTTCCAAAAACGGTATACTACCGTAAAATTAATGTCCAATACATGTAATGTCCAATACAGTTTTTCACCGTATATAGTAGGGGAATTTACCGTTAACCATTTAACAGGTTTTTACTGTAGCATTTTTACAGTCTTTTACCGTTAAATTCACGGTCATTTTTTACAGTGATAGTGTCCAGTATGAGCTCACACTTTAGCCAAAGGACTTTAGGACCAAACAGAACATCAAACTGCTTTTATAAATGGTAATTGGGACTAAAGCATTGGTGAATAGAGTGCCTCCAGGAGGTACTCAGTATGAGTCTGGAAATGTCACATTTTCTATTTACATATAGGCCTATTTATATTAATTAATTATGGCATTATGTTACTCACAGTCTTTTAGCTTGTATTCAAAAATATAAGGAAAAAAATAAAGGGACATTGATAATTTATAGAGAGCATGTGACTAGGTGGTACTTGGTTATTCTTCTTTGATTGTAGATTGTTTCTGACACGTTGCATGAATAGACTACAAAATTGTGCATGAGAAATGAAATTCGTTTTTTCTTTCTTAACAAACGGTCAGTGTAAGGACCACTTGTTTCATTTAACACTCATAAAATGTCAAACTCGGGAGGTCAAATTGAACATTGCATGATTCATTTATTTTCTACTCATTTTCTACGAGGTTTGCAATTTTTTAGCTAATTTAGAATTTCGCTTTTTTTATGAAGTTCAAGCAATAAATTAATTAGGCATGTTTTAAATCATATAACATATCATAAAAATATAACATTAAAAAATAAATATTACTTGTATGTTTTAGTATTTAAAACGAGTTAATGAGTTTACATGTGACTAGGTGGTGGTTATTGTGTGACTAGAATAAAGTACAAAACGGCATGAAAATGTAATTATGTTTAATCAACAACAACAACAAAAATACTATAATAAAATATATAAAAA